AGGAAATCTAAATTATTTAACAATTTATTAACATTGATACTAAATATATTTAGAATTTCTTTTAATGATCAAAAAACAGCAGTGTCACGACAATATAATTCTACCACATATTTTTATTAAATAATACTTACTTAAAGAAAGAGATTTTGTCATTTTTCTTTCTGTATGCTGCTGTGCTTTTGCAATTTAAAACAGCACATTTAAATGGCATTGTTGACTTCTTTTTATGACGTTTTTATCACGTATCGCGGATCACTTTTCTCATGTAAAAAGATTAGAATTATAGGTTAGAAGAACCGTATTATGGAGAATATATTGACTATATATATCTTTTTGCTTCTGCGCATGTGCACAATGAGACACTTTAACACATGCTTTTTGGGGCCATAGCACATAAGCGAAATTTGGGAAGTTAGCAGTCTAGTAATATATAGAAGTCTGTGGGCCAGACTCTATATATAGGGACTCTACACTAAACAGTTCACAAGCGCTGCGAGTGGCAAAAATTGGAACTTAAACTTTCGACGTAAACTTGACCCATTCTCCATTTACGGAGTGGAGTCTCCTTATATCTTACTTCATGGATCTAGCATATACGTGCCATATTCTAACCCAAAAACAGATTTTGTACGAAAATTTATAAGTTTTTTGTCAAAAAAGTTGAAAAACAATTTGAAGACATTTCATTTCAATATAAAAGAAAGATTATGCGTGAATACCGCTTTTGCAAAATTTATAGGAAGTAATTAATTTGTGACAAATCTTGCTTAATAATCTATTAGGAAAAAAATGTGTTCATTAAACGATTGCAGATATAATGATGACAATGAAACACCTAATAATGCTAAAGACGCAGTAATGTAAGTGACAAATAGTTACAACAAATAATAACACAAAAATGACATAATGGATATTATTGGTATCTTTTATTACTGATTTCTCTATTCATTTAATACTTATTGTTGACAGGAATGCAACTCAATGTAGAAAATGCAGATTTGAAGATGTTGATGTTTTGCTAGTTGGTCAAAGTGGTTACTGCAAAACATGCTTTCTGACTGTTACAAATCACAAGTTTCGAGCTGCGCTTGGTAAATCTAAGATTATTCGCCATGGTGATTTGATATTGATTGATCATTCTGGTGAATTAAATGCCACTGTACTTTTACATCTCATTAGAGCGGGTATGAGTGAGTCAGCTCATAAGAAGCTTATCTTTAAGATAATAGTTTTGTATATAGATGGTAAGTTTTACAAATAAATGAATAATTTTATTCTCATATCAATTGAAGAAAGATTGTAGAAGATTTTAATATCTTAACAGATAGTGTTGTAATGGGAAGGACAAATGAAGAAAGGAATACTCTGCAACATAAAATTGCTGAGGAAATAAAGGATTATGGATTCAATGGTTATGTTGTATCGTTGAGTCAAGTGTTGAGCAAGGAGGATATTTTAAGTATAATACCAATAGATCAACAACAAATAAACAATGAAAATGATGATCAATTATATACAATATTGGCCAATCTATCAGATGAAACCTCAAGAACGGATTTACTCAGCCAATTACGTCGAAGATTGCTGCTATCAGCAGCTCGAAAACTCAATTGTAATAAAGTGTTCATAGCAGATTCAGCTATGGACATTGCCACGAAAGTTCTTGGAGATATATGTTTAGGACGTGGTGCGCAACTTTCTGTGCTCGCAAACTTCTGCGATACTCGGTGCACCGATGTCAAGATACTCAAGCCGCTGAGAGATTTTACACAGCAGGAATTATTGTATTATTCAAAGTATCATAGAATAGAGTCTGTTAAATTGAGAGAATTAATTGTGACAATACCGACAACATCTATACAGACATTAGCATGCAACTTTACAATAGAACTGGATTCTCAGTTTTCTGGTACAGTGTCCACTATATTTCGTACAGCTGAAAAAGTAAGCGCGAAGTTCAACGAGCAGCAAGACATGGAAAATAATTGTGTGCTGTGTGACATAAGATTAAACTCTGTACCTTTTAGTGACGAAGTATCCGCTATGCGGGCGGTTGCAGTTTCTAAATGGATATCTTCCAAATGTGGTGATACGAAGACTCTTCCTAATGGTAAAGAAAATGGAACATCACATTGCATACTACCACAGTTAAACAACAAAGTATGTTCTAATGGCGAATGTGATTGTAAGAAAAGTAAAGAAATACAATTAACTGACGAAGACATTTGGAGATGTCTTTGTTACAGTTGTGGACAGATATTTCGGAATTCAGAGATTTTAAATACTTTTCCAGCATCATTACTGTTTGAAGTCCAACAAAGAATGGCTTTAAAAAACATGAGAGAAGAAATCAACGATTTTTTATTATGAACCAATAGAAAAATCAAATAGTAATGTTATCTCTAGTTACAATTTTTTAAATTAAATGAGATAAAAAAATGCTAAAATTTTTAATATTAATATCTTTGAGCTAATTATGAAATACATTTAACATAAAAGACGGTCAATCATGCGATATTTTTTCATCTCGATTAAAGCTGTTCATAAGCTGTAATATTGAATTACTTTATCTCGTCACAATCTTATAGACTGTATGACTGGACATTTCTAACATATTTCCCTCTGTCAACATACGAAAATACCAAGTCAAAGATTACTTAGACCAGATGCTGTGGAACCGGGGAGACAGAGGGGGCGACCGCCCACCCAGAGATAATTCAGGGGGGGGGTGTAGCCCCCCCTGAAATTTTTCTGTTTTTTTTTCTAGGTATTTCATGACCGAAAATATTGAGTATCAGATATTTACATCAAAGGTGAAAAAATGGGTTATTTTTCTTTTCTTTTCTTTTTTTCCTTCTTTTTTCTTTCTTTTTTTTGATTATTTATTCGTTCAATTGAAGTACACTACATAACGAAGAAAATTAAGCGCATTAAGTTAATTAGAACAAAATACCTGTGCATATTTTTTGCATATTTATACTACCCACTGAGCGGCCTATTATATATATGATGTTTGAATGGAGTTATATACATCTACATATTATGAATGTATTATGTATCCCCTTTATAAATTTTGCCCCCTTAGATGAAAAATACTTCCGCGGCGCCTGACTTAGGCTAAGAAGCCTATCATTTATGCCACAGTTGCAGATAATTAGCACTAAGCGATAATGTCAATGTTTGTTGCGCATTAGAAAACATACCGCTTCTTTGAAAAGATGAATTATCATCAGCATAATATATTATTCTATTTTTCCTAAAATTTTAGTTTGTTTAGTTTGTGTAGATGTGCATTTCTTTTACGGGCTGTGTGACAAATCGACGTCTTTGCATAAATAGTGAAAGAAATGTATAATGTATATATGTATATATGTATTTATTATTTGCAGAACAATATAATAAAAACAAATAATGTAACTTTATAAACCTAAAAATTAAATTTTGTTAAAATTAATTTAAAAAATTATAGTTACAAAGATTACATTTAGTACAAATATATTTATAACTTAATTTAATTTAATAATTATTAAATTAATTTTTAATAGTTTAATAAAAAATTAATTAAAAATTATTAAAGTAAATTATCTTAATTTTAATTTTACTTATATTAAATTAATTATTTTAATTATATTAAAATGGATACATAAAACTAAATAAATATATATGTATATAATGTGTATTATGCATACAGTAAACACCAATATATGTATACGTAATGCACATATAGTTTAAACTTTTAATTATATATTCAATTAATATTTTTATTTTATTATAAAAAAAAATAAAGTTTTCAATCACACAAATTAATTATTTAGTATATGCTTAGTATACAATTATTAATTATCTGTATTTATTTTAATTAATTAATATCAGTTAGTAAAATTCACAGCTGAATCTAATTTTCTTTATATATAAAAATAATTTGCAATTAGTAATATAAAATTTAATACATCATTAAATAAAACTAAAAAATATCTATATTGTATGTGAAAGAACTATAAATTATCATATAAAAGATTGATATTCAAAAATGTATGTAACTCGTTGCAAAAAAATAAACTACTCTGTAATTTAAGAATTTGATATAAAGAATAATTTAAGAATTTGATATAAAGAATTTGATAAAAGAAATCTAATTGGCTTTTCTCATCGCTTGATAATTATACTCTATTTTATGCTATAATATATCTCAGCATTTGGATATTCTAACTTGATAGAATTTACAAAATGTTCAAATTGTTGAATGTCTTGATCCAAAACCCTGGTCTCAGAAGATGATAATTTTTTACATTGAATTTTTTGGATATTATCTTCTTTCGCTCGCATGTAATTTTCTTTATAGATACATTCATCATCATCAAGTCATCGCAGAAGTCTGTAATAAGTTCTGTGTATTCGGAATTTTCACTGATATTAACATGAGACGATTCTGACTGGAATTCTTGTTCCAAATATTTAGGTAAAGCGAATATGTCGACATTACTGCTAGTCAATAGTGGGTGTTTACGATAATTCAAGTTCGAGTTAGTTTCACTAAGGCACTAGATATGTAGGTATTCTTATCCGCCATTTTGGTTCCTACTAGATGGAGAATTATAGCGTATATAGTATAGCTTAGTATAATATGGCTAGACCTGTGCGCCGTTTTACTTTATATTGGCGGCGGCGTTCGATACTAAATAGTTAGGCGGCGGCGAATTCGCCGACAATTTTTCTTTCGGCGGCGGCGAAATCGGCGGATGATAATTTATCGGCGGCGGCGGCGAATAACGGCGTCAACGTATATATATATTTTTTTAAATAAAGGAATTAAACTATATAATAATTTAATAAACAGACTGATTATAGATATATAATATTTGAAAATTATCAAGAAACATAAATATATGTTTTATTTTATATTGTTCTCTTTAGTTTTATTTAACTTTTACATTTCAAAATCTTTTACCTTTCAATTATTTTAATTGTTTATTATGTTCAATAATGGTAGAAATTATATATTAAATTTCAAAGTTAATTACATTTCTCTAATTTAGAATAAACTTTAATTTTAGTTTTTAATAAGTACAGATAATATAAATAAATAAAAATAGCAAACAATATATAATTATGCATACATATACATATATAACTTACGTACAACTACATACGTACATATAACAATACATATTATAACATTTATAATAAGATTATAAGATAAATAAAGATGAAACACAATATTTATTTTTAAAATATATTTATTAATGTTTACTCGTGAAAAAACAAAATAACATCATTTTTTAATCATTAATATCATATGTAACAAAAATAAAATATCAATCACTTTTTAACTTTTTACATATGAAAGACTTTTTCATTAAAAATTATACATTAATTAATAAGAAATTGCAAGTAATAATTATATAACTGTAGCAATGTTTTTTGGATAACTTATATATAACTTATTTTATAGTATTTTAAATATATATCTTTTATTAATTTAAAATTATCATGAATAAATAGGATTTTGTTAGATTTTGACGGTTTTAACGCAGAACGTTTTGCTGTGATAAGTAAACCTGCAGAAGAGAATGCACGCTCAGATGCTGAACTAGTGATCGGAATAGCATAAATGCAGCACATCAATTTGTACAAATTTGGCAGTGATAACTTCATTTTATTCCACTATTGTAGAGGATCCTCGATAGATTCTGATATATGTAAATACTTCTTAACTTCAATAAGAATAGGATCTTCAGGAGGAATAATATTTGCGTGTTTCGCAGCTAATTCCAAACGTAATTTTTTGACTCCAAGAAGCTGACATGACTTATTAGAATAAATATCTGTTTCTCTCTTAGATACCTATTGTAAAAAAGCAGAATTAAACATGAAAATATAATTATATTATAAAAACAACAATTTTATATTTATTAGTAAACTATATGATTTATTTTAATAAAATTTTTTAAAATATTGTTTGATCTAATTAATTTGATCTAAATAATTAAATATTGTTTAATAAAATATCGCTTAATGTTAATTAAAATAATTTTACCTGTTTATTTCTAATATTCAAAGGAACCATCTTGTGGATCATATATACTAAAAATTCCTCAGCAGATTGTTGCTTATCTGCAAGATATTCTGCAACACCTTTAACATTTTGAAGAGTCGGATCTAGAAGTGCTCCGCAAACATGGGCTTCGTGTATTGGAAATCGCTTTTTTAAGTTCTGTAAAATAGTTTTCTTAAATTGTTTTATTATAAATGAATCATCTTCATTTTCACACATATTGCTTTCAATTTCTGCTCTGAAAAAAAAATTATACAACACATTCAACAATTAACTTCTTTAAATTTATAATAAGATACATTTATGATATAAAATATAAAAATATATTAAACCTAATAAATCTAAATAAAATAACAAACCTAAATAAAAGTGCTAAGTTTACTGTAGGATATTCTACTCCAGAAAGAATTTCTAGTTGTTGTTTTAAATACTTATTAAACAATTTGCTATATCTTCAATATTCTTCCATTCACTATCTGT